TACGAGCTGCTACTGTTAATGCTATAATAATAGTGTTATTCGTAATGTTGCTTTAATGTTACTATCTTAAGCTTTGAAAGAAAAGTTAGAAACCCAAGTAATGTCTGCAAAGTGCTTAACAAAGTACCTGGTACATAATAGGTTGGATCAAAATGAGTTATAAGGAAGAAAAGGAGTAGAAAGCAGATCTTACAGTTGTTGTAACCTCGGAGTACAATCGTAGTAATAGTTACCACATTCCTCATAAAACAATAATAATAGCAATAGGAGTGGTAATAACACTTGCTGAGCACCTGTTGTGTGCCAGGAATTATTCCAAATGCTTTATATATATATGATAACTCACTGAATAGTTACAAAAGCCACATGAGGCAGGTAATGCTGTTATCGTCATTGTACAAATAAGGACACTGAAGCACAGAAAGAGTAAATAATTTGACCAAGATCACACATTCAGGGAGCAGGGTTTTAAAAACAGGATTTTGAATCCAAGTAGCAAGCGTAAGCGTTTTGAATATGCAGAATTGGGCACAGGCCAGATCTTTAGGGCCCTGACAGTTAAGAATGGAAGGCTGTTGAAAAGTATTGAACAGAGGCATGACACAATCTCATGTACATTTTTATGGAAGCACTGTATAGCTGCTAACCATATCTACACGGGTCAAACAGATTCAGCAGCAACCATGTTGACCGGTCAGAGGCCCAGAGAGACACAACTTTGTACAGTTTGTTCTCTGGCTCTAGCATTGCACAAGACTTCCATGTTGCATGATCGTAGGGGCCACCTTCTCGTGGTGGTCGTGTGGCATTCTTTGGAGTCCAGTAGGTGGAAGTCCAAGGCAAGGGTGAGGGTCAAGGCTTAGCCTAAAGCAGCTATGTAATGATGTATCAGTAGATTTCTGGCCCAGATGATCGCTGTCCTCATCTGACAAAAGTGAGAAATGCAGGCTCCTTCTACCAATCCAAGGATCATGGAGGTCTTTACTCACTGACCAAGCTTGCCAGTTGCCAAAGAGGCCACTGGCAATTTTCATTCAACTTAGAGAAATGATGGGGTTTTAGTAAATGCCACCAGCCTACCGAAGGACATCTGATGAGCTTGTCCTCCTTTTCCTCCTTTGTGTGACTGTCAAGCAAAGCTATGATCCAGTTGACAATATAATATCGTTCAGGTCATCAGCGTACTCTCAGAACCATCACTTCCTTCCTTCAAAATCTTTGGGCAAGTTGAGTTAATGACAAGGGAAGCCACCAACCTTTTAAGCCATAGGATGTCATTAAGCTGTAAGAGCAATTTAAGCGAAAGTATTTTTGTGTTAAATTCAGAACCTGCCTCTTTTTACAGTGATATGACTTGTTCTTTCCCGAGGCATCAGAAATAAACTTTTTCGGAGAACTAAAATGCTAGCTGTGGAAGGAAGCAAGTATTCTAGAGAATAAATAAACCTCAGAGTCTATTGCTAAGACAGTCTTCCAGGCCTTCCTTTTCTGGCATCTCAGAAATTAAACTGTTTCATGGGCAGACAGCTATCTCTTCCAGAGAATTTCCAGTCTAACTTGCTGTGTATGACAGCCCAGTCCTTTCTTTTAAAAAATCAGCCTGAGGCCAGGTGCAGTGGCTCACACCTGTAATCCTAGCACTATGGGAGGCTGAGGCAGGAGGATCGCTCAAGGTCAGGAGTTCGAGACCAGCCTGAAGAAGAGCGAGACCCCCCCAAAAAAACATTGAAAGAAATTAGCTGGACAACTAAAAAAATATATATAGAAAAAATTAGCCAGGCATGGTGGTGCATGCCTTGTAGTCCCAGCTACCCGGGAGGCTAAGCCAGGAGGATCGCTTGAGCCCGGGAGTTTGAGCTTGCTGTTAGCTAGGCTGACACCATGGCACTCACTCTAGCCCAGACAACAGAGTGAGACTCTGTCTCAAAATAAATAAATAAATAAATAAAAATAAAATAAAGTTAAGGAATTCTGCCTTCTATTCAACTCACATCTTCTAAGCCTTTAATGGAAGCCAGTTCCTTTCTCTGGCCTCTGGACATGGAGAAGAGCCAGTCAGCATCTTCTACATATAGGGGCCTTTAATCCAATTACTCCTTATTCGCCTCGTCTTCAGACTAAACAATTCCACTTCCTTTAACCTTTCATCACAGGATTTCTTCTCCGTCCTTTTCATCATTTTGGTTTGTCTTTCCCTGGACTGTCTCCAGAGGGTCTTCGTTGGTTCCTTTCATAGAATTTGAAGAAGTTATTTTCTCTTAAAAAATCAGAAATCTCTCGGGTTTTTTTGTTTGTTTGTTTTTGATGCATTCAGTTCTGACTTGGGTAGTCCTACCAAGTTGGGTCCACATCACTAGGTAGAGGTGATTTCTTTCAACATCTTTAGTTGTCTGCATCTGAGGGAGTCACATTTGGACAGAGTAAGCAGTCCAATTTTCTTAATTTTTCTGTCATTGATTGCCATTCTCTCTCTGCTATAAATGAAGAAGGAACAGCAGAGAGAAAAATGGAAAGGCAGTCTTCTGTCTGGAGACTGTATGAGCTGTTAGAAGTGAAGAGACTCACCCTGCTTGAAAGAACGTCCTGGGTCCTGTCCCTATTTATTGCCTTAATGCAGGCATCCTCAAACTTAGGCCCGGCCCGCAGGCCACATGCAGCCTGCAAAGGACGTTCATTATCTGGCCCACCAGGTGTTTTTGCCCCCGCTGCCTGTCCTGCTCAGCAGCCAACTGGTCCCGGGCCCACAGTGCGCATGTGTGGAATGTGCGCCCCACTCTCCAACGGCCCTCCAACGGTCTGAAGAACAGTGAACTGGCCCCCTGTTTACAAAGTTTGAGGACCCCTGTCTTAATGTAAAAGGCAGAAAAAGTTTCATGCTTTATTACAACTTCACAGAAGCAGCAGAGTTGGAGGGGAGGTAGAAGGATAGGTGAATCCACGTTCTGAAATGATTTTTCTTGGCTAAAATCACTGTGTGAATTCATGGCTTTCTCATGCAAAAGAGAGGGTGGTTCTGGCTGTTTTGGAAGCAGGTCACTTTCTGTGTCATTCTCACTCTGCTGTTGTCTGGGCTAGAGTGAGTGCCATGGTGTCAGCCTAGCTAACAGCAAGCTCAAACTCCTGGGCTCAAGCAATCCTCCTGGCTATCTGAGAAACACTGGAGTTAGCTCCAGGCTTCAAGATGACCACCCAGAATGGGCAGAAAGTCAAATTCCTCTTTTTCATTTTACACAATGGCGTTTTACCTTGGCTCCCTGAGGCCCAGGGCAGTCACTCAATGCCTGCTTGGAACCCTCTTTCTGACACCTGACTTTGTCATTCTCTCCTTGAGATCACATTCTTATTCGGCACTGGAGAAACCAGACCTGCCAGAAACAGTTTATTCATTTTTTTCTCTTCCTCCTGTCATTTTCTTTTCCTACCTCAAAGGACTTAGTATTTTTGGCAGCTGGGCATTTTAGGTTATGGTTCATTTCTTTGGTGGCAAGAATAAACTTTGTGACCCTTTGAGAAGAAGCCTCAATCACTGCTCCATCCCTCATATATAATAGAATGACCTTTTTTAATGATCAGAATGTTGACAGCCACAAAGAATCCCTTTTGTTAATAGAAATATGATCCTAGAGCCCTGGTTTTTTTTTTTTTTCTTTGTATTCCCTCAGAGTTTGATCAGCAGTCTTGTGGAAAGTGTTTTTTAATAATATTAATAATAATGATAGCCTCTAATCTTTATGGAAAGCTTACTGTGTACCAAGTAATTTACATAGATTTTAATCTTTTCAACAACATTATAAGATAGGTACTATTGTTGTATGTTTTACAGTTGAGGAAACTTGAGAAAGCTTTTCTGTGATGACCCATCTGGTAAATGTTGAACATGGGCAATTTAACTTGCAAGTCATGCATTTAGCATCTTGGCAACTTTGCTGAACTTGATTCCTGGTATGTCACAGGATGCTTGCTAATAAGAATTAAATCCCTGCTATTTATTGAGCTCTTACTATGTGCTAGGACCTGTTTCAAGCACTATACATGGATTAAATGTTTTGTCAGTATTTAAGTCTGACAAAAGCCCTATTGTTAGTTGAATACTGTGATTATCACCATTTTTTATTGAAGGAGAATGGAGTCTCAGTGATGTTAAACAGTTTGTTCAGGTTTGCAGACTGGGTGCATGATGGAGCTATCGTGTTTCCCGGAAAATAAGACAGGGCCTTATATTTTTCCTCAAGAAGACACCCTAGGGCTTATTTTCAGGAAATGTGTCGTTTTTTTTAAGTACGGTACAACAATCTACATTTATTCAAAGATAGTGAAGTCGTCGTCTTCTGGAACATCATCCTAACTCTCCAAACCCCAATTCCATCCTGAATTTCTTGCGACTCTATTTCCTTTAGAACCATTGGCCCCAGTCTGTCATGTCGAGCACTAGAGCTTTCATGGGGCAGATGAGAAGGGCTGCTCAGCGACAAAACGAAATGCATGGGTTGTGCAAATGCGCGAGTAGCCATGCCCATCACTAGGGCTTATTTTGGGGTAAGGCTTCTATTGCACAAATACTTAGAAATCCTGCTAGGGCTTATTTTACGGGTAGGTCTTATTTTCGGGAAACACGGTAGAATTCATTCCCAGGCAGTCTGGCTCCAGAACCTACCAGTTTGACCGCACCTCCGTGTTCTTTCCTGTAATACTAAAGGTCTTCCCGGGTGGGTACTGCAGAGAGACCCGGACTCTTGCTGAGACACAAACTCACAGAGAGTTTTGTGCAGCCCTCAAAAGCAGTGTTTTCCTGGTCAGTCGGCAGGACAGAAACCAGAGCCAGATGAACCTGTTGGGCAGCGATTCCAGCAGGCGGCCTCAGGCCCTGCTGGGTTTATCAGTGTTGGCATCAGGCGCTTCCTACCGTTTGTGTTCTTATCACCCCTGCCTGCTTTGGACCACATAGATTTTCTAATTGATGTTGGTTTTTTTTTCCCTCCCCTCCCTGGTTCTCTGTTCAGCTCGAGGCTTTTTATTCCATCTTCACCACGGAGCAGCAAGACCACGTCAAGTCGGTGGAATATCTGAGAAATAACTTTCGACCACAGCAGGATCTGAACAACAGGGTGGTGTCCAAATCCGCCGTCCGTGATGCCTGGAACCATGACATGACAGACTTCTTAGAAAACCCACTAGGGACAGAAGCCTCTAAAGGTATATTTGGATTAAGTGCCCTTGCCCAGAGGAAGATGCCTTATCATAAATTACTAAATTAAAAGGAGTTCAAAGCCAGCCAAGAATTGCAACTTGGTGTTAAGTGCATATGCTTCTCTGCTAAAAGAAACTTGTCTGGATGATAAATAGAAGCAGCTGTGGGAAGAACTTGTGTTAGATGGATGTGATATTTTGACTTTTGACTAATAATAGATCATTTTCCGCATTTTTAACCTTGTAATTTCAAAACTAACTGGTGGTGTCTAAACAGAGCTTTTTAACTGTTTCCCTGTTGATCTGGTGTTTATCTCTGAGTTCAGACATTAGGACCTTAGAATTACTTCCAGCACCCCAGTATGTGGCATTCTTAGTAACATTCACCCCAGGCAAGAACTATTAATACAACTCTAGCTTTCAATCCCACTGAAAATCCCTTGCTTTTTTCCAACTATTATTTAACAGTTTAATTCCTGTATCTGATAAACATGAGTTTATCCTTTTCGGGCACCTCAGTATTTTCCATTTCTATTCTCTCATGCAAAATGAACATGAGCTTCTCTCCCAGGAAACTAGAAAGTCTGAGTCTACCTTCACACCCCTTCTCTCGGGCTCTGGGATTTGTCATAATTGTGGCCCGGAGCTCAGGAAACACTTAGGGGAATAAAGCAAGCCCTAGTACTTGGAAGGGAAGAAGAAACAAGAAGGAATTTTCTTTTAGGTGTGAAAAGATGGATATTTCCCAACCCAGTGCTCTCCTTCTTCAAAATTGGGAGCTTGGGTAATATAGGAAGAGCTTGTCTCATTTTTCAACACTGGAAGTAGACTATGGTATTGTTAGTGTGGTCAGTTGTGTGTGAGGCTTTGTTTCAAGAGTGTCCCCACCCGTAACAAAAGGAACTGGTTTATTGGCGTATGATCTCTGAGAGATGGGGGAATGAGATTATATTCCAGAAATAACTGCGTTGGCATGCACTTTGATGATAAGAGTGAGCCATTTTCCAAGCTCATGCATCTGAAAAGGAGCTAAAAGAAGAGGAAAAGGAGTTTAAGAATGTGATCGTTTCCTTCCTGCCTGTGTGATTTTGTTTGAGGTTAGCAAGCAGAAGTGAGTCTGGCCTGGTTCCCTCTAGAGAAACGGCAGAGATTCAAGTACTTTGGGGCCAATGCTTTTTGTCAGGGGCATTGTTCTCTGGGAACAATTGGAGAATTAAGAAGCTCTCAGACCTGTAAAATATCTTAGGTTGGGCTGGCATAGAAAACCTCACATGGGCCTGGTGCAGTGGCACATGCCTGTAATCCTAGCACTCTGGGAGGCCGAGGCGGGAGGATCACTCGAGGTCAGGAGTTTGAGACCAGCCTGAGCAAGAGCAAGACCCCATCTCTACTAAAAATAGAAAGAAATTAATTGGCCAACTAAAAATATATAGAAAAACTTAGCCAGGCATGGTGGCGTATACCTGTAGTCCCAGCTACTTGGAAGGCTGAGGATCGGTTGAGCCCAGGAGACTGAGATTGCTGTGAGCTAGGCTGACACCATGGCACTCTAGCTGGGGCCACAGAGTGAGACTCTGTCTCAAAAAAAAAAAAAAAAAAAAAAACTCACATGGGCTAATTTTTTTTAACTTAGCTAAAAAAATTTTTTTTAAAAGTAGTCAAAATTGAAGGCCTTATCCCAAGAGGACTTGGGGGAAGTGGAGGGGGGAGGGAATCAGGTGTCTAGGGCATTGACTGTTTTGTGAGAGTATGCGTGTGTAGAGGACATGTAGGGGGATGAGGGATTTATAGCACAAGTGAGTGCAAAATCTAGTAGCTCAGAATTACTGAAATTATGACAGTCACAAAGCTCTTTGCTGAAAAACGAGCTGAGCATATAATAGATCAGCCATACGGAGAAAATGCATGGCCTTTATCATCCAGGAGAGCTAGAGACGGTAATGGTTTCGGTTGCATGAAATTGTCAAAGTGGGCAAGATCTTCCACCGAACATGCTTTTTCTGAATTTGCCCAGAGCCATGGACCCGTCCGTAAATATGAGGAATCTGTTCTTCATCCTGCAAGGTTTTTTCCAATTATTGTAGTGTTCCTTGCTGACTCTTAAGATGTGTGAATATTAAAATGTTTTCTGGCCAGGTGTGGTGGCTCACACCTGTAATCCTAGCACTGTGGGAGGCCGAGGCGGGTGGATTGCTCGAGGTCAGGAGTTAGAAACCAGCTTGAGCAAGGCTGAGGCAGCAGGATTGCTTGAGCCCAGGAGTTTGAGGTTGCTGTGAGCTAGACTGATGCCACGGCACTCACTCTAGCCTGGGCAACAAAGTGAGACTCTGTCTCTAAATAAATAAATAAATAAAATGAAATATTTTCTGATCTTTACAGAGGCAGAGAGAGATCTAGGTGCAATCTTGATTCATGCTTTTATTACTGGAGAATTATATACATACAGAAAAGTACACGTGTAATATGTGCATAGCTTGATGGATTGTCACAAACTGAATACACCTGAGTGACAAGCACTCAGATCAAGAAGATCAGGTTCACCAGAACCTCCCCCCACATCCACCCTCTTAATCACTGTCTGTTCCCAAGGGTAACTACTACCAGCCATTAGCTCTGCCTATTTGTAAATTCCATAGAAATGGAGTCATCTAGTATGTCCTGGTTTGCATCCTGCTGCTTTTGCTCTGCGTTGGTTTTGACAGTTCTCTATGTGGTTACTTGTAGTTACAGTTTGTTCTTTCTTATTACTGAATTCCATTGTGTGACTCTACCTGAATTTATTTCTTCATTTCAGCATACATGAATATGTAGATTATTTCCAAGTTTTCATGATTATGAAAATTCTGAACATGCCTTTTATGAATATATGGACGTACATCTCTGTTGAGTGTCTACCCAGGAGTAAAATGGCTGCATCCTCAAGTACGCACACATTCAGGTTTGGTTAGATACTGCCTAACCGTTCTTAAAGTGATTGGATGGATCATTTTACACTTCTGCCAGCAGTATAGGAAAATTTCTTATGTCTTTATAGCCTTTTCTTAAAAGACATAATTTACATAGCATAAAGTTCAGCTATTGTAAATGTACAATTCAATAATTTTTAGTAAATTTGTAGCTGTGCAACCATCACTGCAGTCCTGTTCTAGAACATTTATCCGTGTGGTGGCATGTGTCAGCAGGTCATTCCTTTCTATTGCTGAATAGTATCCCTATTTTTTTTTAAATAACAGCTTTATTGAGATTTAACTCATATTCCATACGTTCATACTTTTTAAGTGTACACATCAGTAGTTTTTAGTATATTTACAAAGCTGTGTGAACCATCACCACTATTTCCAGAACATTTCCATCATCCCAAAAAGCAACTCCATACCATTTAGCAGCCACTCACTCACTCCCCATTCCCTCCTCTGTCCCTTCCTCTGTCCCTCCCCCGCCTGGTGCTAGGCAACCACTAATGTACTTTCTGTCTCTATGGATTTGGCTATTCTAGACATTTCATATAAATGAATCATATGATATATATGGCTTTTTATCTATGGCTTCTTTCACTTAGCATAATATTACCGAGGCTCATCTGTATTGGAGCATGTATCAGAATTTCATTCCATTTTATGGGTAAATATTATGCCACTATATGGATACGCCACATGTAGCTTATCCCTTTATCAGTTGATATGGACATTTGAGTTGTCTCCACTTTTTGGCTATTATGAATAATGCTGCTATGAACATTCATGTTCCTGTTTTTGTGGGAACAAATGTTTTCAGTTCTTTTAGGTATAAGCTGAGGAGTAGAATTGCTGAGTCCTATGGTACCCTTTGCTTACAGTTTTGAAGAACCACCAAACTGTTTTCCAAAGCAATGGCACCCACTTTGCATTTCAATCAATAGTGTGTGAAGGTTCCAATTTCTCTACATGTTCACCAATACTTGTTGTTGTGCATCTTTTTTTTTTTAGCCATCTTTGTGAACATAAAGTAGTTTCTCTTTGTAGTTTTTATTTCCATTTCCTTAATGATTGGTGATGGCCCTATTTGTTTTTACATGCACACGTCATGGAGTCATAGTCTGAATGATCAAATGCTGTCCCCTCTCTCCCCACCTCAAGAAAACTCAGATAATTCAACAGCTCTGTTGGCCAAAAGCCAGGCACAGAGACTAGCAGTCATCAGGCAGCTTGGAGGGCTTCAATTATTGGCCTCAGAGATATAAACAAATAAAGAACCAGTGCAAGGAAAGAGTCGTTTTCTTTCTCCAGTCTTCTGTGAAAAATGATTTAAAAAGAGAAGGGTGATATTCTATAATCTTAAGGTAATTCAGAAAGAACAAACCCTGTCTGATTGGCATTCTCTCTCTAGTCAGTATTGGAAATTTTCAATTCCCAGGAAGGCTGCAGTGTTTTTTCCATTCATTGTGCTATTGTCACAGAAGAAAGAAGAATAAATTAATTACATAAGGCAGGAGTCATTTATTTTTATTTTTTCTTATTTCCTCTATGGCAGAAGGCAGGAGTCATTAAAGTTCTTTGGTTAAGGGCCAGATAGTAAATATTTTTGTCCTTGTGGCCGTATGGTCTGTATTGCAATGACATTCGTCCCTGGGTATCTGCAGGGGATTGGTTCCAGGAACCCCACGATACCAAAACTATTGGATGCTCCAGTCTCTGATTTAAAATGGTATAACATTTGCATAAAACCTACTCATATCCTCCCATATACTTTCAATCATCTTTGGATTACTTATAATATCTAATACAATATAAGTGGTTGTTTTACTATACTTTTAAATTTATATTATTTTTTATTTTATATGTGTGTGTGTGTGTATATATATATATATATATATTTTTTTTTTTTTAATTTTTTGAGACAGAGTCTCACTTTGTTGCCCAGGCTAGAGTGCTCAGCGACTAGCTCACAGCAAACTCAAACTCCTGGGCTCAAGCGATCCTTCTGCCTCAGCCTCCCAAGTAGCTGGGACTACAGGCAGGTGCCACCAT